ATTATCTGTAACATCCCGTCAGGTGCTCTGATCAACCCGACTTTAGGATGGGGGGAGAGCGAGGGCGTGACGTCTCCTCAGGTTCCTCGCAAGGCGAACGAGAGGAAGGAGGAGTTTGTGATCCCCGACCACCTTCATGGCGAGAACCCTGACCATCGATCTCCTCACTTCGTCCACATGCAGAGGTACACGTAGACCCCCCTGTTCCTTTTCCTTCTCTCTGATCCAGCGATTGCAACATCTCATCAACATGTTGTCAGGATGGATTCGACCGACTGCTTCATGGATCCCGAGTACGCATGTGTTTTCTAAGTTTTTGTACATTACGAGGGTCAAAGTCGAAGAAACGGAGGCGAACAGAGTGACAAAGTATTATTAGTAGGGGTGAGAACACGAGACAAGATGTTTAAATTTCAGCTTTCAATCATTGTTAAATTCATCAAATAATATGTCTGTCTCCCTCCTCACGAACTATACAGGCCTACTTTCATCCTTCTCTTCTCTGCTGGTGCTCGGGTGGCGGGTCCTCGTGGCTTCCACTCCCACACGTGAATCTTCTCGCAGTGCCCGTCGCTCTCGCTGCTCTCCCGCGTGTAGAAGCGCATTCCCGTAGCAGCTCTGTGCAGCCCCTGGATCTCTGCCTCCATCCAGTACAGCTCGTAGACCGATCGAAGCCCCGGGTAGGAAGAGGACGTTTCTGTCTCCTCCCACGCCACAACTTCACCGTTGCGGAGGAAATGGATCGCCGGGTTCGAGCCCACGATGCTACCCAACTCTTCGCTCACTCCCCGACCACACGCATGCAAGGGAGTCTCTCCAGGTCGGAACTTCTCCGCGAGCTGCTTGTTCCTCTCCTTCACCACTCCGTTGTCGAGGATCTGACTCGTCTCGAACAGCTCGTAGTCCCCGTCAAAAACTCTTACCTTCGCAACCTTCACTCCCCTCGTCCCCTCTGGCCGGAGGAACGACTCCCCAGCTCGCAGCTCCTCGAGCAGCTCCCGCGCGCTCTTCGCTTTTCCATGCCCCCACTTGTTAAGATCACATCCGGCCTCTTCCACGAGCCATCGCTCAAGAGCCTCTTCGGACGCAAGAGGACCCTGGAGGAGAGGAGGAGGGAACAGGAAAGGCAGCCCAAGACCTCGAAAGCGGGTCACTGCAGTCGTGCCTTCCTTCACAGCTGTCTTGACGAGATCCAGCGTTGCATGCGCCAAGCAGGTCGTTTGTCGTGCCCCAGACCTTGGCCCTGACAACACGCTGGTAGCGCGGAAGCAGAGGCCGGGAGACAGGAGAACCGCGAAAACGAGAAGCGACAAGCCTGCACGCCGGAAACCCTTCATCCTTCCCTCTTGTTCACCAGGACAGCCAGCTAATCCTTGCAATCAAAGCACCCGCACCTCCAAGAGCCTCTCCTTACACCCCTTGTCCTGTTGATCTTCTCAGTCCTTGGTTTTGATAAACAGTTGTTTTCTTGTAGCCTTGTTGTGTAGCAGTGCTGTAGCCTTGTCTCTCAGTGATGTGTAGCAGTGCTGGAGTCTTGTTGTGTCCTTTCCTTGTGTGCTTGCTGTCTTGACGTGCTTGTCTTGTCCTGTCCTCGTCTCTTGCACCTTCTTTCCGATTGTTCTCTTACAAGTCACCCTCGACTTTCAAGGACTCCCACCCTCATCACCCACCCCCTCCCATATCCCTACCCTCCCGATATCTCCACTACCCCATAGCAAGAGTTCCAAACCACCCCCTCGGTGAATGACCACCTTGTGCATCTACCAAAGTACCCCACCCAAACTCACTGCAACAGTGATCCTCTGCTGGATCCTCTGACCCCACCTGGTATCTTTGATGCCCCTACCCCCTTAAAATGTTGATAACCCCCAATGTTGACCACCCTACCCTACCTCCCTCCCCTCTTCCTTGCTCGTGCGCATTGCAACAACCGCCAGAAACACGCTATAAATTAGTTTTATATATTAATATAATTTTAAAAGGCCACTATAAACAAATTAAACGAACAATACATGTTTTATCTTTGAAGGCTAAAACATTCAGTACAATATAAAACCATTTTATGAAATAAAACGATATTAAAACGGTGGGTCGCAATACCAATGGAATCGACGCAATATGGGCATGTTCTCTTTAACTACGCGTATCTGCCTCGTAAGTACGCACCACTGAGCGTGAGCCCGAGCCCCTGCCCGAGCCCGGGTATGAGCAGGGGGATGAGGGGGATGAGATGAGCAAGAGGGGGATGATGTAATATGAGAATGAGGGGGATGAAGTAGAGAGAGCACGTGAAGAATGAAGCGGAGGAGGGAGGAGGGGAAGCGAGGAGGTGGGGGAAGGGACAGCGAAGGAAGAGGAGGGGGAGGAGGCATGGGCTTCAAGCGGAAGAGACCAAACACGCAAGAGAAAGAGAAGAAGGAGATCTCGACACAGAAGAATTTAATGCAACCCATAGAGTATGTGGAGACGTCCCTTGACGAATACGGCTGGAAGCCTGTGCCCTTCGACTCCAAAACTTTCGGATCGTCTTGTAACCTCATGGGAATTATGTCGATATCGAAGATCGAGGGCGACGAGGCAGAGAAACTCTTGCGGAAGTACGAGAAATCCAAGGAGAAGCTGACGAAGCTGCAAGATAAGGGCAAGAGCACCAACAAGAAAGCAGCTCCAACGCCGGGGGAGGACCCAGCGCGTCGAAAGGGGGGGCAGAAGAAGCAGGAAGTAGCTAATGAGGCGAGAGAGAGCAGTATTCTCAAGAAGAAGAAGAAGAAGAAGAAGAGGCAGCAGGCTGACGTAGCCGCTGGAGGTCCAGGTGAAGCCGTGGAGGGTCAAGGGGAGGAGGAGGAGGATCATGAGGGTAACGAGGAGGTTGATGTCAGCGAACAGACGCCGAAGATCGCAGATGAAGACTACGACGACCAATGGGAGTACGAGGAATGGAACTGCGTCATGTTGCGCAAGTGCCTAGTGAAGGCGCTCAAGGAGCAGGGGTTCGAGCAGCCGACGGCGATCCAAGAGCTTGTCATCCCTGCTGCCATGGCCAAGCGTCAGGACATCTTCGGTGCTGCAGAGACAGGCTCGGGCAAGACGCTTGCCTTCGCACTCCCCATGCTCCAGCGCATCCTCGACAGCCACAACTTCTCGGGGATCGACGCGAAGGAGCGGAAGCTCGCCGGGCTTGTGCTGTCCCCCACGCGAGAGCTGGCGATTCAAGTGCGCGATCATATCGTAGCAGCGGCGAGATTCACCAAGATCAAGGTGGTGGCTGTTGTCGGCGGCCTCTCCATGCAGAAGCAGCAGCGCCAGCTCGCCATGCACCCGCACATAGTCGTCGGCACTCCCGGGCGACTGTGGGAGCAGATGCGACTGGGGAACGAGTACCTGCGGGAGCTGAACATGCTGCTGTGCCTTGTGATCGATGAAGCAGACAGGATGATGGAGACAGGTCACTTCCAAGAGCTCGAGAACATCCTCAACCTGCTCCCTGACCTCGACCCGAAGGCGAAGCAGAAGAGGGAGTCCAACGAGGAGGAGGAGGAGGAGGAGATAACGTCATTCCAAGCGACTAAGGGGAGCAAACTGCATGCTCAGAGGCATTACAGGAGGCAGACGATGATCTTCTCTGCCACCCTCATCAAGGACATCCAGTGGAGAAGCACCAAGAAGGTCAAGCGCAAGGAGAAGCGGAAGCAACCAGAGACCTCAGCTGACGTCAGGCGGCAGTCCATCGAGCGCCTGATTGACAGGCTGCAGCTGCCAGAGGAGCCAGTCATCTTCGACCTGACGCCGTCTGGGAAGGTGTCAGAGAAGATCGCGCAGTACCGTGTGGAGTGTCTGCCGCTGGAGAAGGAGGCGCGGGTGTATCACTTCCTGCTGAAGCACTTCGACAAGGGCGGGGCCGCGCCATCCTCTTCATCAACGCCATAGGAGAGGCGAGAAGGATCGCAAACCTCCTGAACCTCCTCCGCATCCGAGCTGTCCTCCTCCACTCGGGGCTGCAGCAGCGGCAGCGGCTCAAGAACCTGGAGACGTTCAAGCAGGACGCTTCCTCCGTCCTCATCGCCACAGACGTTGCTGCTCGTGGCCTCGACATCCCGCAAGTTTCTGTTGTCTTGCATTTCCACGTGCCCAAAGTTCCCTCGCTCTACATCCACCGATGCGGCCGCACGGCAAGAGGACGCGCGGAGGAAGGAATGAGCATCATGTACGTCACTCCACAAGAGCAGGTGTGCTCCGCTGCCTCATCCTCCTCCCTCCCCTCCCCTCCCCTCCCCTCCCCTCCCTCCCTCCCTCCCTCACTCACTTTCTCTCCCTCTTCCTTTCGCATGCTTGTCATTCTCTTCTACTTGCTGCTGTCGGTGCTGTCGGGCTCAAGCTTTATCTTTCAGGTTCACCTGCAGAAGATTGTTGACTCGACCGGTTTCGAGATTCCTCTGCGAGATGACGACGATGTTTACTTGACCTCCGCTCAGAAGCGCGTTCATGCTGCCAAGAAGCTCGAGGTGCCCGTGCAAGCTCCGCCTCGCCTCCTCCTCCTGACCTTCTCTTCTTACCTGCTCCTTCTCCCTCCTCCTCTTCCCTGGTCTTCCCCCTTCCTCTGTTCCAGGCGGAGCTGAACAAGAGCGGGAGGGAATCGAGGGACAGCAGCTGGTTGCGGCAGCAAGCGCAGGCGATGGAAATCGACATGGAGGAGTCGGACGGGGAGGACGAGGAGGTTGACGCGTCATCATCTTCTTTGCTGCTCCTGCTCCACCACCATCCTCCTACTCCACCTCCACCCTCCTGCTCCTCGTCTCACTTGTTTCCGCCCTGTCCTCCTCTCCCCCCCCCCCTTCTCTGATTATCTCCGTGCCCAGGTGATGATACAGAAGAGAAGCGCGACGCAAAAGATCCGGCAGCTTCAGGAGCAGCTCGATCGCTTGCTGGATGCTCACGTCCTACCCAAGGGCATTTCCCCTCGGTCTGACCTCACTCCTCCTCCCACTATCCTAGTTTGTTGCCTTCTCCTCATGCCTTCTGCCTCCTCCTCCTGCTGCTCCTCCTGCCCCTTCCTTTGCTCCTGGTCTTACCGCCATTGTCTCCGCCCTCCTTCTGATGTCTCGCAGCTTCATCGCAGGGTCGCAAGCGGCTCACGCTGGACTGCCAGAGATGCTGACGCACGGGGCGAGGATGGGGAGCATCAAGTACGCGGACGGCAAGCGAGTGCACAGGAAGAAGAGGAGGAGATGAGGAGGAGAATGAACCCGCTAGCTCTGGCTGTATCCCTCAGATCTTGACAACTTTACACCTTCCCTCCTCTTCCTCTCGCTCTTCCTCCTCCTGGCCCAGGAGCGAGAGCAGAGAGGACGAGGTCGAAGAACGCCGTGTGCTTCCTCATCATGCTCTTCACTGTTGGCTCCTTCTCCGGCCTGTAAGGGTCATCAGAGACGTCGCACTTCCTCCCTCCCTCCCTCCTCCTCCTCCTCCTCCTCCTCCTCCTCCCCTTCCTCCCCTCCACTCCCTCCCCTTCCCCTCCCCTTCCCCTCCTCCTCCCCTCCTCCTCT